TAATATAATACATTATTTATATATATATATTTTACGTTAGCAAAAATTGTACCGAACGACCTCGGGAATGTTGATTGGAGTAAATGAACTCAAGAAAGAGATAGATTATGTCTTTTTTGTTTCTTTCTTATCTTTGTGTTTTATATGATAGCAAAAACGCATTTTAAAACGAAATTATTAATACATTGTAAAAAAAAAAAAGGAATAAAAAATAAAAATAAAGAGAATATACATTTTACATATAAAAGCTCGATATTAAATTAATATTAATTAAACATAAATGTGTATATTCTTGATGTTAGAGAAATAATATCTATATTTTCACTCTCTCTCTCTTGTAATACAAAGTTTCGATAGGATAAGATAAATTATATAATAGGATAACTCATTTGGCTCCGTTTAACTATTATCGATCGATAAAGCGTAATTATAGTATGGTAGTACCTTCATTAGGTTCCTTTATCGTCATCTTAATCGCCATTAGAGTTGGGTGTGTTATTTTAAGAAAATGAATTTACGAACAAGTTAATATGATAACGCTTTACGTTTACTATCAAATTGTATGTATGTATATATATATATGTATGTATGTATTATAATAACTATTAGTAAGAATATTTTTTGTCTTCATATAACTTTAATATCATTCTTATTCTTATTCGTTTTATTTTTCTGTTTGTTTGTTGCCCTGCCGGTTAAATGAAGGAAGGAAAATACAATCTACAGTGCCAGGAGTCTCATGAGAGAATAAAAGAGAAAAAGAGAGAGACAGGATCTTCGATTCCGGATAGAAAGAGATAGAGAGAGGGAGAGAGGAATACCGAGAAAGAAGAATTCGGTGAACGGATCTCGTTTGGTTGTCCTTCAACGAACAAAGTTCTCCGGTTCCTGATTCGAAGTCATCGTGTACACGACTTCTTCTTGTCCAGACAACGTATATAAGTCAAATCCAGATCAGAAGTAAGGTGCATAATCCAAACAGTCCTTCGTCGAAGAAGGAGGTTTCCAAAAGTGAAGTTGAAATTTGTAACATGATGCAGCAATCATTGCTGGTGAGTCCTTTGGATCTATTACTTTGAATTATTTTAATATGAATTATAAACATTTAATGAGTATGTTGTACTAATTATTTTTAATAAAACAAATTAATTCATATTATAA